GTGTACCAAGTAGGGGATAGGAGGTTTATATCTGTTCATCCAACATAGTGGAATGCCCAGTTTCTGCTGCAGTACCAAGGTCAGTCACCAGGAGGCCCATATTTGACCTTGATCTTTGTCTTCCTAAGACTTATCAGCATACCAAATATCATCACAATCCATAAAGGCGTTATGAAGTTATGCTGAGTACAAATTTGCGGAAACACAGACAGAAAGACGCACCAAAACAATACCTCCATTTTTCGTGGAGGTAATTATAAATTAATATACTGCCTGCATTGCGTTAATAACAATTAAGACATGTTCTCCGAGCATTGCGTGCTTGAGCGTAATGGTAGTTGTAACAATCCCAATGGTTCGCTTAATGGTTACTGGATTAACCTTGAATAACAAGGTTACGAGGGGTGTTCAAAAGTTCTCGGCCCGACCTAGAAAACGTCAGGGTAGTAAAATTTGTCTTACACTATTTTTTAATATAGTCCTCTCTAACTGCAATGCACTTGGTCCAGTGATGTTCCAGCTTTGTTTTCCCCTTGTGGAAGAAGGTTGCATCTGGACCCCCCAGATTGGCCTATACCGCATGGATGACATCATTACAATCAAAACGTTGACCACGTAAGTGGAACTTGAGTTTAGGAAACAGGTAGAAGTCCAAGGGTGCTAGGTCAGGTGAATTGGAAGGGTGGGGTTAGACTTCAAAGCCAAATTCGTTTGCTGCTGCCACTGAACCCTGTGCTATGTGGACAGGTGCATTGGTAGCAGGCCAGCTCGGAGCTTTCCTCTCCTTTTCTCTTTGATCGTTGTCCTCAACTGTCGTAATTCTGTTCAATAGTACTCCCCATTGATGCTTTAACCCCTTCGCAGGTAGTCAATCATGATTACTTCCTTACTGTCCCAGAAAACAGGGGCAAAAACCCTGTCAACGGACGAAAGTCGCTAAAACGTCTTGGGAGGCCGAGAAAAATTCTTCCATCCATTATTTGCTCTGTTGTTTTGATTCGGGATGAAAGTGGTGAAACTAGCTCATCTTGGGTGACAAATGTTTTGAGGAAATTGCATGCATTGGACTGAATTCGTTCCTTGAAATGTCCCGCCTGTTTAACTTCTGATGTTCAGAAAACATTCGAGGCACCCACCATGCAGACAGTTTGTTCATCCCGAGGATGTTCGACAAAACATTGTGAACTGAGTCATAACACAGGCCAAAGAACCTGCTACATGTCGGCCAGTCTCACATTTGTCATTTACTACCATGTGATGGGTGGCCTCAACGGGATTGTCCATGGTGCTGATTTGTGGCATCCTGACATATGTTAATCTTTTGTGCTCTCCTTGCCGCGCTTGTAGCTAGCAACCCACTTCTTTATAGTAGTTCTTTGGGTGACAGATCAAAGAAATTAATTAGATGCACAGAATACGACCCCTGACCTCACTTGACCCAGCGGTCATCTGGTTATTGTCATCACAAGTAGCGGGCGGTGGGAGCTCACGTACTCGAGCTCATCTGAATTTTCTCCCACCCACCCACCCGTGGATTCTCATGGTTTAAAACATTAAACTTACCAAGCCCATCTCGCCTCTTTGTCTCTCTATGATAAGCGTTGAGTGTGAGTGCAGATAATTGTTGAAAAAGAAGGGGAGTCATCACCAAGTGTCTTGACCATGTCTTCATGGATTTCCTTAGGGGAGATCCCTTTATATCGATACACGTGATCACAGCACACGCTTCTGTTGCGGCCATTTTGTGATTTCGCCCCAACCCACCCCATTTTCCCGGGGCGTCACGTGCTAATTAATGAATATAAAAATTTGAATTTTTGTGTGCAGTGATGTAAGACGTCATAGTATACAGCTATATCAAAGAATAGGAGTTTGACCTTTATTTTCTAGGTGAGGCCGAGAACTTTTTTGAACACCCCTCGTACCTTTAGAAAGTTCATCCTCAGTCACTATCATCACCTTTTGTCCGACATATTTGATCCTGATAACATTTACACCTGGCATACCCTATGTTCTTAGACTCCACTATTTGCTTTCTTATCATTATTATTAGCGTTGTTATTGTCACTATTATCATTTGCTCACTTATATTTTATGTGTCCGTGGGCATGTTTTTGTTTGTCATTGGTTATGATTGTTTCTTGTTTTATCTGTGTATGTTTGCATAAGTCTTTGATGTTGCTTTAATTGTACTTTTTATTTTATTATGTTTTTAACTTGGACAGGGGGCTAAGACAAAGGCCAGACCTGTTCCCCCTGTCCAATTACATACTTTGTAATGTAATGAAGCTGAAATAAAATAAAAAAAATAAATAAAAAAAATAGCCAGGAACAGCTAGACATTTGGATTTGTAAAGCCGTCGTCACACTGCAAGGGACCTACGTTCGGAATTTGTTGGTCCTCAGTAGGTCGCTCAGTTTCAAATTTAAGCGTTCTCGTTGCCAGAAAATATATTTGTTCTTGTTTGATCAGCTTCGCCGGAGGTCGTTCAACGATTTTGGTGTCGTTCGATTTCCGAGCAGGCGCAGAACCAACCACCGACATCAGGATCTATACATGTATGTAAGTAAGCCGGCGTTTTCGGTAGCAATCCCGCTTCTGTATAGTCCAAGAATGCGCCAAGTTTGCGGTTGTACGAAGATCATACGACGTTTGTGACCTGGCCCTTCGGTTTGGCAGGACTCGGTCATCAGCCGATCCCTAAAACCGTGCTGTGTTCGAGAGAACTCGCCATTTTAACCGACCGTCGACGTGAAAGGCCGACTGTCCTTGCCTTGTATTCAATTCACGGTGAGTTGTTAACCTGTTCTACATAGCGTCCGAACACCTGGCCATAGATTATGAAAACAATTCTAGAATAAACATGGGCATTCCACATGTGCCTACCTTACTGCATCATGGCTCTTTTCTCTCTGCACCATTTATCACTTATGAATTTGTCCCTTTCAACTGTCCCAGGCACGTTTTTACGATAACAGGCACAATGCCAGGTCATAGATCACGGGTAAAGTCCTTTCTGTGCAACTCATCGTGCATCGGTAGCACATATATGTGTATGTATATCCAACGCATGTTTACCTTATATATATACACATCGTGGAACCAAAGTGTAACCCTCACGTTCAAGCTGTTGCATGTTTGTAGTTGCAGTATCTCATGCGACAAGCTGCGTGAATGTTTCGTCTCCATAGACAAGTAGGCTGATGTATGCTTGAAGTATAGCGCTTGGTATTATTAGATAAGTAAAGGGGCAAACTATCTTCTCTTATACCCCTTTACTAGAAATGGGACAACGTATTTATTACCTCCATGAAAAATGGAGGTATTGTTTTGGCGTGTCTATCTGTATGTCTGTGTGTGTGTGTGTGTGTCTGTGTGTTTGTGTTTCCGCAACTTTGTAGTCAGCATAACTTCAGAACGCCTTTATGGATTGTGATGATATTTGGTATGATGGTAAGTCTTGGAAAGACAAAGGTCAAGGTCAAGTATCGGCCTCCTGTTGGATGACCTTGGTACTGCAGCAGAACTTCCGGTTTTTGTATCTTTTGTCCTGAACAAGCTATGGTCTTGACTTTTTGGTGACAGATAGCTTATCCTGTCAGGAATAAGTGGCGTAAGTTTGGTCTCCCTAGCAGCTTGTTCTGGAACTGCAGGTTAGTTTCTGGTAAAAACTTTCAAAGCCAATAAGTCCAAATTGGAACAAGGTATTTTCATTATTTTTAGTGTGCAGGTACCTGAGAGACAGTTGTACATGATTGAATGCAAATTATGCAAATGAGGACTTAATTTGCATAATTAATGAGAAAATTCTATAATTACAGTGTTTCATATAATGGTACTGCTATACATGTAATCTATTTAATCTGTGGCAGGCGGAACATCAACAGATACCAATTATGCAAATGGTGAGCTAATTTGCATAATTAATGAGAACATTTTGTGACTCCTTATTGGTGAATGATGGGAATTTTATACCTCGTGACATGTATAAGTTAATTAAAGGTTAGCACCACTATGCATATATTATGTTAATGTTGATGTTATTTGCATAATTAATGAGGAAATGTTGAAATGAACTATGACAATGCAAGCCCATATTTCATGGAGGTATGAGATCTCGGAACTCTTGTTGTATTCTGTATCCATAACGTATAGTCTTCACGCTTTGTATTCTTTTTTCTCTCCACAGAAAATGGCAAACAGGCGAAATGACCTTACTCTGGGCGGATTGACACACAGGCGGTGGTGTATAGTCTTCTTGTTGGGAGTTGGAAGCTTGGCGTTGTATTTTATCCAGGTATATAATGTTATTTTTAGAATATACCCCTGGGAGGTGAAGTAAACAATGGACACCTGTAGAAAGCTTTCATTCACGGGACCATTTAGTAATTTTACAAGATGGTGGACGTCATGGACCAGAAAAGACAAAGTGATTATATGAAGTTGGATCGTGCGGGGCAAACGGTAGCGTGTTCGTCTCAGAACCAAGAGGTCCCGGGTTCGAATAATGCTTTGTCACCGATCTTGTGCCTTTTACACGATTTTCCTAACTTCACTCAGGTAGAATAAGTACCTAGCGTCTGTTAGGGACGTCCCTCGGGATGATAGGGGAGAGCCACACCCCGCGCACGTTAAGGCGCACCGCACCTTACGAAAAAGAGTAGGGGATGCCCCGGTGCGCGATGGTAAGAATACTACAGTATGGAGTTGGTCATTCACTTCAAATCACCCTGAAGAAATAATCAAGGCCGTACGTGCTGCTATTTACATCATCACCCGGACGGAGGCCTGGCTGGCGAACCTAGCTAGTTTTAAGCTAACGAAAAGTATGTCACCCCGTAAGGTATTATAAACCCCGACCAATACGGTCGACCGATGATGATGATAAATTATATGTAACAATAGGTACTGCGTGTCGGCTGGAGTTAAGTTGTTGACAAGGGAACGATCCGACAAACTTGAGTTGATTTCACATATTTTGTGGATGTACGCTGTACTCAAACATATTAGCTTCAATTTTTGTAGGTAGCTTGTGCGCCATATTATAAATTTTGACGCCTCTCAGTTTGTGTGTTCTTAACAATGTTAATCCCTATAGGGATATATATATGAATGAAAATAATCTTACAAAATTACGTAAAAGAGGCCAGCAGAGCAGGGGGGATTTTTTTTACCAAATTATACGTCTAGTCTAGAAAACAGCAGACAAATATGCATGTCCTTCAATTACAGGGTACTCCATGGAAAAACAACCGGATGATGAAAACGCACTGGTCTACTGAGAAATCTCACAGCGTGCCTTCATATCTCAACCGATGGAACCATTTAGTCATCAACACGGAAAGTGATAAACTAGTGATCACTGTTAAAAACTGGACAAGAAACATTCTGGTTTCTGACTTCACAAACAAGCTGGGTCTCAGACTTACGGTAAAAGAAAAACGTCGAAGCCCACAAAAATCATCTACATCTACAACTTTGATTCCCAAAGTTAGGAAGCAAACAAACAAAATTCTAACTTTAAAAAGCAACAATGAATCGCAATCTTTCGAAAAGGCTAACAGAAGTCAAACCACTACACCAACTAAAACAAGAGAGAAATTATTTTCTCCCGCAGTTTATGTGAAACAGTTTGAGTTTACCTTAGGTTCTGAGTCTATAGGACAATATTCAGTAGGAGACTTGGTACATCTTGTTTTCTCTGCCAAAGATAAGCGAAACAACACGATATCCAATACCGGGGATTTCTTCCGAGGGTCTATCATTAGTGCTGAATCAAAGTCTGGTGCCGTTGGTATCGTCACGGACCACCAGAACGGTACCTACACGGCAACGTTCCGACTGTTGTGGGAAGGGGAGGTTACCATTAGAATCCAACTCGTCCTTCCACGACAAACTATTGATGTCATAGAAAAAAACAGACGCGAGGATCCTTTCGAGATCAAAGAAGAGATGGTCACTTTCCAGAAAAGATTTGCCGTGGGAAAACGTAACGTCGATACCCAGTGTAACGTAGACCCGGTCATCTTTAAAGACAGTCCAGTTTGTGACTACTCTGACCTGCATGCTGGCGTGCGGTGGTATTGTGTAAAACCTGACAACATCTCCTGCAATACTTCGGGATATCTCTCTAGGCTGAGGTACAAGAAAACTAAGTTGAGGGCTGGAGAGGAAAAGCTTTTTGGCAGGTAATATTTGACACATAAAACAGCGAGCAGATTATTAATCGCACTGATATCCAAGACCTTTGTCGTGGTAACCAACTCCGACAAATTGTACATGCACCCACTAGACTAGATGCCACCTTGGATTTAATCATTACCAATCTTGAGGATATGTACATGTATCTTCAACCGTCATTGCTACCACCCCTGGGCTCAAGTGACCATAAGATTCTGAACCTACGGCCCAAATCCCAGGTTAGGTTAACCATGACAAAGACAAAAGTCCTCAGACCCATGCCAGATTCCTGCATCAGATCCTTCGGCCGATGGCTAGTAAGCCATGAATGGACTGAAGTCCTATCAGCAACAGACGCACAGTCCATGACGGACGCCTTTTACCAAACCATGCACAGTAAGATTGATCAGTACTTTCCGGAGAAGACAATAAAACTGCATAGTACTGACAAACCATGGATCAGTCCTAAAATCAAAAGTCTTATACATCAACGTCAACAAGCCTTCAATGCTAATGAACACGACAAGTACAAGTTACTACGCAACAAAGTGCAGAATGAAATAAAAAAAAGCAAAGAAAAGCTTCTACAAAGATCAAGTAAAAGCCTTAAAGAAAGAAAACCCCTCTAAATGGTACCAGCAAATTAAGGTTATGACCAACACGACAGGGACAGGACTCACTCTCAACGTTGAAGGTACAACACCTGGGGATAGGAAATCTATCGCCAATGCAATTAACGAGACATTGAGCGCTGTAACCTGCTCCCTGGACCCATTGGATAAAACCAGATTACCCGTATTCCTCCCAGCAAGGCCTGTTGACGAGATTCTACCGTGGCAGGTGTACAACAAACTACAGCACATCAATGTGAGAAAGGCTGCGGGACCGGATGGCCTTTCCAACAGGGTCATTAAGCACTTCGCGTACGAGATCTCCACACCAGTAACAGCCATTTTGAACGCTTCTCTATCTGAGGGGGTCGTCCCCGAACAGTGGAGACAGGCGAATGTTGTACCGCTGCCCAAAACGCGCCCGCCGTCGATCAACGAGTTAAGACCCATATCTCTTACACCCACCTTGGCAAAGATAGCGGAGGCGTTCATATCCAAACAACTTTATACAGATATCAAGTCCAATATCGACCCAAACCAGTATGAATGCCTTCCTGGCGTTCTACAACACACTGCCTTGTAGACGTTGTTAACCAGCTGACAAAAACTTACAGACAAGAGAGGAACAGTTACTACCTTGGTAACAACTGACTTTGCTAAGGCTTTCGATAGAGTAGATCACAGCCTAGCTGTCTCAAGTCTACTCGATCTGGGACTAAGAAGCTCTCTCGCCAAATGGATTTGCTCCTTCCTCACTGCCAGGCAACAGAGAGTAATGTACAAGGGGGTGTATTCTGACTGGAGGGAGACTACTTGTGGCCTTCCACAAGGAACTGTTTTAGGCCCACTGCTATTTCTCGCTCTGATCAACAGTGCAAACGAGAACTCCTCCGCTAGGCGGTGGAAGTTCGTTGACGATCTTAACCTTGCGGAGAGCAGAATGATCGGGGATACCTCAACCATTCAGACAGACTTAAACCATCTTGAGCAATGGGCAACATCGAGGAAAATGCAGCTCCATCCAGGGAAGTGCAAAGCTATGCACGTGTTTTTCACAAGAACTCCCCCTCCACTGCCGTCCTTATCCATTGCTGGTATACTGTTGGAAGAAGTGAAGGCAGTGAAACTCCTTAGTTTACACCTTCAGGCCGACCTAGGTTGGAATACTCATGTCGATCACGTTGTCAAACAAGGTAGCAGGAAGCTCTTCCTTCTCAAACAACTCAAACAGTTTGACCTCTCTAGGGATGACTTACTCACCTGCTACAAAACGTTTGTCCGTCCGAGCTGTGAATACGCGGCGCCCACCTGGCATCCTGGACTGACTACCAGACAACGTCACAGGATCGAGTATATCCAGAAACGCGCGTGTCGGGTAATACTCGGGTCAGCTTATACTTCATACCCCGAGGCATGTGCAACACTGGACTTACCTACGCTAGAAGACCGAAGGGTCCAACTTTGCCTGAACTTTGCTATGAAAGTTCTCAGATCACAGGACTTCCAACACTGGCTACCGCCCAGGAGGGGCTCCACCACTGAGCGCACCACTCGTTCCAGTAACAAACTGACCCTTACCAAATGTAGAACTGAGCGGTACAAACAGAGTAGCGTCCCATACATGACCTACCTCCTGAACAGTCACTATTTGTGTTAGACACCGTACGTTAAAGTCGTTGTAAATAATGCCTGTGTTAATGCCTGTGTAAATAAATGTAAATAAATGTGTAATGAATTTGCATGTACAACTGGACGCAATTCAGCCTTTGGCTGCAAAGTCCACGTTTTTTTACGAATAAAACACCATTTGATTGATTATTATTGGAATGAGCAGAGCACTTTGGACTAATGCCCCTGGCTGTTTACAGCTTAGAGGTACATATCCAATATTTTGTCAAAAACATCTCTGTTACATAGCGGATCATAATGACCCACAGCGGGGGTCTTCATGCTTCGTTAAAAATGGAAAAATCTCAAGATTTAATCCAAAGATCTCAATATTTTAGACGAAGTCTGTCCATAACGTCAAATAGTTGTATTGGAATAATTTTTTTTCGTGTTGATTTATGGTAATATTTTATGTCATATATAGAAATTTGGTGTCCGAGCCAAAAGCACAAGGTATTAATAGAATATATTTCCCGTGGGCGATGTAAGTGTAATAAACATTTGGTGGTTAACGTTATTAAATTTCATTCATATTGTTTAGTTTTAGGAATACTTAACGTTACATATCTAGAGTCTTGTGTTGTGTTATGTTGTTTAATTATTTCTATTTATTGGTTTTGCTGTTATTGCAATTCATACTGTTGTCGTACGTCTCTGTTTGATTTCAGGTTCTACAAATATATGTAGTGTTTAACTTATATCGTTATGTTTTTTTTTTAATTTACTATAGAGGTAACCATGCATGGAAAATGCCACTCAACAGGAATGTTACAAAGGGTAAGATGTCTTCCTTAAAGTATATATGAAACCAAAATACAAATTCTAATTACCTTTAAAGGTATCAATTAATTTTAACACACGTGCATTATACATAATTTTTCTATCATTGAACATCCTAACATTTTTCTCTTTTGTCTGTTTTCCAAACAGGTCGTGATCCTTTGGCCAATCGCAGTCGTTGTGTCAGAGGACTCGGGACTCCACAAATATCCGGGTTTTTCCAAGATGGCGTCTGGAACTCTCTTGTCTGCAAGAACAGACATTTCTCTGACAAAACAGCCTGGCAGCAATGTCTGTCTGGAAAAACTTTACATTTCATCGGTGACTCCACCATTCGGCAGTGGTGGGAACATTTGGTTCGAATTTTGGAGATGAATGAAACACGTTTTCCTGGCGTCATCCACAACACAGGGCCGCTGCTCGCCCGTGATTATTTGAACAACATAACGGTAAAATTTCAAATCCACGGACCGCCTCTTCGTTTTGGCTGGACTCAAGAGTTTCACATCAAATATCTTGCCAACGCCGTTGATGAAGTGAGTGGGGGACCGGGCGATGTGGTAGGTATAACAATCTGGGCACACTTCACTTCCTTCCCTGTAAATGTTTACAGAGAAAGAATCAAGGCCGTGCGTGCTGCGATAGAACGTTTGCTCCAAAGAAGCCCGGAGACTCTTGTGGTCATCAAATCTGCCAACACGAACACTGGCAATATGCTGTATGAAGGAGACTGGCTAGCGCATAGGTTGGACATGGTAATGCGGGAAACGTTTCGTGGGTTAAACGTTGTTCTTGTGGATGCTTGGGAAATGACGAGTGCGCAAAACTGGCACACAGATAACCTTCACCCTGCTGAGGACATCATTGTCCAAGAGCTGGAGTTTCTTTGTTCATTTATTTGTCCCTGGCCTCCATCTTGAACAATCTCTCGCTGTTACGGGCTAGAACGGGCCTCATTTAACTCGAGAGAATCATCCCCATATCCAGAACTATTGATTATAAAGCATATATTTAAAAAGACTGAGGACTACATACCCTCAGAATACAAAGTTTTCAGCACTTGAAAGTCTGTCCCCGAGATGCACAAGGTACATTCAACTCTTAGATTGTTAGAAAGATCGGACCTACATTGCTACATTGTTCTTGCTGCGTTCAGGCTCTAAAATAACGGTTAATCAACTTGACAAAACAAACCTGATTCAATAATCACAATTAACTCTTTAACGAATTAATATCAATATCTGATGGAGTGGAGTATTTCTTTAATATCTAATGTGGTTGTGAAATGGTGTTTAAGCTTCATTATGTAGTT